GCCCAGGCGGCCCACCCAACGGGCGCCACTACGGGATTAAGCCTGAAACCGGAGCGGCCCCGACCCCCGCCGCCGCCGCCACCTCAACCTCCTCCACTTCCTCGTCTTCCTCTTCCAAACGGACTGAGTGCTCAGCGGCCCGGGAGTCCCAGGGGAGTGGCGGCCCCGAGTTCTCATGCAACTCGTTCCTACGGGACAAGGCAGCAGCGACGCCTGCGGGAACCGGGCCCGGGGCGGGGATCGGGTCCGGGTCCGGGTCCGGGTCCGGGTCCGGGTCTGGGTCCGGGTCCGGGGCAGGCGGCTCGTCGGAGCCCTCGGCTTGCAGCGACCACCCGAGCCCGGGCTGCCCGCTGAAGGAGGAGGAGAAGCAGCATCCGCAGCCGGCACCGCAGCAACTTGACCCAAGTAAGTGCAAAAGAAATTGCCCCCTGATTTATTGCTGAAACCTGTAAGACTCGAATGTGCAAAACTGATAGTTTTACTAACCTATAAAAACGTCTAGACGCCTACCCTAGCCTAGGCGAGCAACATGCATCCATAAAAAAGCTTCCCATAACCACCTACCCTGGGCGCGCGGTTTGTACGGTAAACAGAGCGCGGACATTAAGGCTTTTTATGATAATTCACCCCAAGTTGTGAAAAGCGGCCATCCTTGGTGAAATTAATTTAACGACCTCTCTCCCCACCCTGTCGTCTCTCCCTACCTCCCCTCCGCCCCTCGCTCCCCTTCTCTAAACCCCCCTCTTCGTAGACAACCCCGCAGCTAACTGGATCCACGCTCGCTCCACCCGGAAAAAGCGCTGTCCTTACACCAAATACCAGACGCTTGAGCTGGAGAAGGAATTCCTCTTCAACATGTACCTCACCCGGGACCGTCGCTATGAAGTGGCAAGGATTCTGAACCTCACAGAGAGACAGGTCAAAATCTGGTTCCAGAATCGTAGGATGAAAATGAAAAAGATGAGCAAGGAGAAATGCCCCAAAGGAGACTGACCCAGCGCAGAGCCGACGGAACCGCTCTGCTTTGCAAAGGCAGTGGGGCTTTTTTTCTTTGTGGGTGCTTGATTTCCAGAAACTCTCCAGCGACTCGGACTTTTTTTTTCCTTTTTTAGGTAGAAGTGACTGTGCGGTTGGTCTCTGTGAGGTATTTGGGGACTCTGTTTGCTCGCTAAAATGTTGGAGAAACCAAGTGGCTTTGGGATTTTTGCCCTGTCCCGCTCCTTCCCTTTCCCTCCCCGCTGGTTCCTTAGGAAATGCTTATTTTGTGAGTGCACGCTGGCTTGAGGAGCCCTCTCCTGTGTAAATGTCCCCACGTTTTTGAAAAGTACTGTAGTTTAGCCCCCAGCGCTGCTCAAGCAGGGGCCAAGAGCTCCCGAATTCGGAAAATGAAGGCAGAGCAACGACAGTGCGCAGTCCGGCCCAGGCGCAGGCCCCGCTGGGTTGCACAACGGTTCAGAAAGCCCCCATTCCTCAGGGAGCCCTCAGGCTCTCGACTGAGAGCTGGAACTGGGCCTAGCCACGAGTCCAGGGCTTCGGGTGGGTTGGAGGATTATTCTCAGTGCACTGAAGGAGCTGCTCTCAACCAGAGAGGGCTCACTCGCGTGGGCGGCAGCGGGTGCAGGCCCGCGGGGCTCCTGCCTGAGGGCCCGTTGTAAATGTTACCGTTCCTACTAATAAATGCTGACCTGATCAAATGGAGCCCAGACGCTGGCCCTGAACGCTGTGTCCCTGCTTTCTCTGTCTCTCTGCCAAATGTCATCCTCACTGGACTTCTCCCTACGGTGAAGATACTGTTAAAAATCTAGGACCCTTCCACCTGAGAGGTCTCTCTGATGTGCCTCCAAGTGGCCCTTTCTGTGTAGACCCAGCCTAGAGCACATGATGGAGGGGGGTGGTGGGACCTTGGCAAGTGGTCCTTCCCTAACCTGGCTTCATTACAACAGAGAACTCTGTGTCCAGGGCCCAGCAGAGGCTATGAGCTCCAGGAGCCAGGAATCCTCAGCTGGGACTTTGGCACACCACACCTCAGGACCCCTAGGCTCCTAACCCCCCAGCGTTTAGATCTGGATTGGGTCTTCCCCGCCCCTACAAAAAGAACCTTTCCAGCTTGGTGGGGCTGGCTGGTTCCAGGAGGACTGAACCAGTTAAGCTGTGAGCTTCTGCCCCTCCCCACAGGACCTGCAAAGTGACCTTAACAGATCAAACTGGTCAAGGCTCTCCTCCGCAAGACCCTCATCCCACTGCCCCCTTCCCCCATCCGGCTTCTGTGTGTTTAGCCCCCAGCTTGGCCCTCTGAGGGCCGTATTCAGAGGCTAAAATGAAGGTCATTGTAAGTGAGGGTTCGGGCCCAGCATGGCCTTTGCAGGCCAAGAGGCCGGCGCCAGGCTGCCTGGGCTGGGCGGAAGGCGGGGCGACGACGGCAGAGTTTTGGGGGATCCTGATGAAAGAGGGGACTTGAAGGAAAAGCAGAGGGGGGCTGGGAGGGAAAGCCAAGGCCCAGATCCGGCAGAAGGTGCTGCCTACCCCCACCCCTACTGCCAACCCGATACCTAGGGCTCTTTGAAAACAGGAAGAACCAAGGTGTCATAAAGCCATCTAGCCGGCGAGACGTCTGGAGGTAATGAGTTTACGACAGGTCCGGCGCTTCGCTTTGAAACCATCTCATTTTGATGTTTGTGTTTGTGGGAGGAAAGGAAAAATGCAGACAAAACTGGGTCTTAAAATCTGGACAATAAAATATAAACAAAACTGCTTTGGACCAAGAAGTCTAGGCTTGGGAGCCTCGGTGAGTGTGAGCACCTAGGAAATAAAAATGAGGGAAAGGGAGGGGAAGAAGAAGATGATGGATTTCTGATTAAAAAAAAAATGAACTGGGTATTAGAAGTAGTCTGGTGTGGGTGGCTCTTTACAATATTTTTACTGGGTCTAGATAATTATTTTAAAACCCACCTTGTTATTTGGGAGTGGGAGGGCCAGTGATCTTGGATCATTTATTCAGGAGGATCTCCCCGTGTCATGGTGGGTGGGAAAAGGTTGTTACTGGCTTTCCACCCCAAACTTTGCAGGAAAACTATTGTTGAAAATTATATGTTTATTGAAGGAATAGTGATCACAAGTGGAATGGAGAGGAGCACTTTTCAAAATGAGGGGGAAAAAGATTATCTTCACAGGAAACAACTAAAATAATTAAAGTCTGATTTAGAAATAAGTTCAAATGGAATGTACAGTTAATTCATTTTACGACGACTTGATATAAATTTAAAATCTCATTATTGTGCACAGAAGTTTCAATGAGCACAACACCACAGAAAGACATTTAGAGATCCAGCAAAAAAGCTTGTTCCCCCACTTCATCCCTACCATTGCCCAGCAAAATTGGTCTGCATTCCAAATTACAAAATAGCAAATATGCATGATTTAATGCTAAAAGTAACAGCTTTAAAAGAAAAAAATTACCAAAATTAACATGTAATTTCTTGGTGTTTGAAGTCCTGAGCCTTTTTTAAATGTCCGTTGCAGTTAATATTTAGAAAGTTGTGCTTTTTGTTAAATCTGACGCGTCCTTTAATGTGGGGGATTACAGAATGGAAACCTAATTTGTCTGGCAAAAGAAAGGCTGGAAGCTTTTGGAAAAGAGTCTACTGGAAGCCCTTGGGAGCACAAATATCTTTGGCATTCAGGAGCCCCTGTTTGCTGCACTTGACTTGTTGACAATCAAAGGGATGAAGCAGTATTAGTGTCAGCTATCCAAGCCCCAGTCACACTACAGAACAAGATTGGAATTGGTTTGAGTAGAATAAAAGCAGTTAAGCACAGTCGGCTCGAGGTTGCATTTGGCCACTAGAGAGCGCCGTTACTCCATTTTGTGATCTCGTAAAGCTGGCGCTCAGGCGCAGGACGGTTTTCATTAAAAATATTTGCAATCTTATTTTACACCCCAAATTAGGATAAATTTAACCAATAAAGAAGTATACCCTATTAAGTTCGCCAATCGTATTTGTTAGTTATAAAATTTGGGCTTAGTCAAGACTTCAGAAAATTTGGACTACGGCACAGCTGAAACTAAACAAACATGGTTAAGTTACAGTATTCTATCAAAACGGAAAGATGTAAAAGTTTAGAGCTTTGTTTACGAAGTTAATCGCGTTTTTTCCACTCAAGTTATTAACAGAATGCTTGAAAAACAAAGTTTTATCCCAAGAGGAAATGTGTTGTAATGTTTTCTTTATTAGGCCAGAATGTGTAGAAGTGAATTTTGTAGTTTTCATGCTTCTTGTTCTTCCCCCAGGAATCACACATTTCTAAATGATATCCTTGTATCTTTGCGATCTGGCCTCGATCTCGTTGCTTTCCAAAACATACTCATTTATTAAGGGCTTAAACATGCACACGCACGCACGCCAAAGAATGAAACAGTCACAATTACAAAGTTAGTTTCCAGACTTTACTGAAAATAATTGGGTATTGTGAGACAGAAGCACAAATCGTAGCAGTCAGTATCGGTTCATTGCCTTCCTATTTATAGAAAGTTTTACCTGGTGACAATCAGCAGAAAACAAAAAGCCCTACCTTCAACCATCTCCATAACAAAAGTCTCTTGCACACTCTCTACTCATTTAAAAGTTAAATAAAACATGGCTTTCTTATCTGGAGATCCACTAATAATCCTTTTTCCTTCACCATTTCCAGTTATTCCCTGTAGAAGCAATGGAAAGTTTAGACGTTATTATCTTGTTATGCCTTTACAGCTCGACATAATTTTCTCCATTTGCAAAAAACGTGATATTCAGTCTAAGCGGACTGACCTCAAGATCGCACTCACAGGTTGGGCCAACCCACTAGCAATAGGGGGAGCTGAAATCTCTGGGGTGCTGCACCTGTGGGGGTTGTCTGGGAATTTTAGACTTTTGCATTTGGCGTGAAAGTCGGGCGTGTTGTGTTTTAGCTTTAGCAGGAGAGCCCTCTGTAGGCTCCGGGGTGTTTGCGAGGTTGGTTCTCAAGGCCAGTGGGCCTGATGTCTCCACAACAGTGGGTTTTTTCCAGGGAAAGAGGATTTGGTCACCCAAAGAACCCACGAAGAAGGCTGCGTAGGTAAGAGAAAACGCACGCAACAGAGATATATTACACTTATTTTGACATTAACATGTGAGAGGGAAAAACAATGTTGGGGAGAGAGGGCCGTTGGTGCTGTGACGCCCAGTAGCGAAAAAACACCAAAATGAAGAACGTTTTGCTGATCTGCACTGGACTTGCCCCCAGGAGTCGGGATGTTGCTCTTCCACATCGTCCACACGCTAAGATGAGACTTCTCTTTGTCTTCTTTTGGAAAAATTAGTAACTTTAAACTCAGTCCGGCGCCCACTCTTGGCAGTAACTCCACAGGCTTCACGGGTGAACTAGAATCGTTAGCAGAAGATGGGCGCCGCCTGCAGCTGCCTGGAACCGGTGTGATCCGAACGCCAGCCTGGAGGCTCCAAGAGGGGACTCGCAGGCGTGAGCCCCCCGCGCTCTGCCCGGAGGAGGGGGGCGCCTGTCGGGTCCGCTCCGCGCCGGGGCCGAGGGCTGGGAATGGCGCGTCTTGCCCGCGGAAATGCCACCCACCCCAGAGGGAGTCCTGCGTCCCGCCCTGGAACATTTCTGTTCGGTTTTCTATTTACTCCCTCAGCAATGCTAATGTCTCCCCCCCCCCCAACACACACACACACACACACACACATTCTTCAGTTCTCCCCTTCTGTGTCGAGTGCTGACGTCTATCAAGGGTAAAATGATGGAAACTATATTCATGGGCATGATTTCCATTAAATATCAATTAACCTGGGAGCCTCAGCCAGGCGTGCAGTGCGTCAAGGGTAAATGTACATCTCATTTCCACAAGGCCCGCTCAGCTGGTAAAGAAGGACTTAGATTCGCCTTGATAAAGCCAGGTCTTAGGGTCACCTTTGTGGCCTTTAATCAAACCGCTTAGCTCAGACTCAACTCAAATGTACTCTCAACGACAGTCGACACCCGCGTGTCCGTAAGTGCAAAAAAGGTGGCCAACTCTGTGGAACAGCTTCAGGGACCTGGGGAGGGAATCATTTGCTCTGCAGCCTACTGGGAGTGGCCTCCCTGCCTCCCCCCCTCCACCCCCAAGTGTAAAGTCCTGCAGCGCCCCCGCCCCCGCTAGCCGCGGTCCGCACTCCCTCGGCCCCAGGGGCTCCGCCAGCCCTTGGCAGTGCGGCTTTATGGGCCCCCTTTAAGGCCGGCGGAGGCATCTCCCGACCGGCGTGAGGCGTCCCGTCGGGAGCAATGGTGTCGCCTCCGCGCGGATCCCTCCGCGCGGTTATCTCGCCCCCATCTCTCTCCCTCTCCGCGCAGTGGCGTGGTGCGAAAATGCCTCGCCGGGGCGCACCGGGGCGGCAGCCTCGGCGGCAGCGGCGACGAGAGCGGTGGGAGGGGGCCGCGGGGGGGGGCGAGGTGAGAGGTGGCGGCGGGCAGAGGGTGTTTTTTTTCTTTCCCCTCCAGAGCGGGGGTTTGTAAGCCGAAGCCAAAGCGTGTCCCCGTGGGCCGGGCGCACTTTTTTTCTTGTCCCGGTGCGCTCAGGGCCGCTGGTGCCTTAGAGGAAACAGTGGCGGCGGCGGGGCAGGTCACCCGGGCGTCGGCGATTATATTGCGGCCGAGCCGGCGCGCGCCCGGAGAGGGCGGGCGGCGGAGCGCGGGGGCTGGGTGAGGCCCACGACCCTCGAGGGAGGCGGTGCGAGCCGAGGCGGCGGGCGCGAGAGCCGAGCATGAGTGCCCAGTAGCCGAACGCCCGTGGCTGCCGGGCCTCAGAGGCGACGCGCGTGCGGGCGAGCCGGAGGCAGCAGCAGCAACGTAACGGCGGCCCCAGCCGCGCGAGCAGCCGCCCCAGAGGCCCTCGCGGCAG